AGAAAAGGGGGAAGAAAAGGGGGAAGAAAAGGGGGAAGAAAAGGGAAAAAAAGGGCTGTTCCCCAGTCCTTGTTACACCTGGATGCAGGACACGTGTCCAGCAGCAGAACATTATTTTCTTAATGACAATTAGCAGGGAAAGGGAAAAAGGCAGGAATGGCACAAGTGTAGATCTGCACACACCTCACACCATCCTCAAGGAGTGCAAAACATCCACAAAGGTGGAGAAAAATCTGCAGGAAGGTGAAGAAATTCCAACACAACCCCTACTGTCAGGAGAGTTCTGAACCCCAAGGAGGAGCTGCCACACCCAGCAAAACCCCAATCCATGGAGAGAGGGGAAAAACAGGAAAAGGAGATTTAACAGCAACAGAAGACATGTGTAGCCCCAGGTAAAATTATATTTTAGAAGAATAAATCTTCCAAGAGTTTCTGGAAAGACCTGGAAGTGCTCCCAACAACACCAGAGAGAGCCCTGGGAGGATAAATTGGGAACACCATCCCCAGGGTGGGGACAAGAGCCAGGAGCAGCTGTGGGAAAAGGCTGGAGGGGATTTTATGAGCTGTGCCTGTGAGTTTGGAGCCCGAGGTGCCGCTGAGTTTCACTCACTGTGTATTCTGCGTGTTTCTTCCCATACCACTTCATCCATTTCCTGAACTCTCTGTCCATCGTCTGCAAGGGGGAGGAAAACCAAAAGCAGCTTTAAGGGCATCTCAGATTTCCAATTCCCTCAAAATAACAGAGATGTATCCCTGAAGCACCCACTGAACCCCGAGAATTCTGCCTGCTTGGAGGATTTTTGCCATGAACATTCCAAGGACAGGCAAGCATGGAGCTCCTGCTGTTTAATTTCTTTAAAAAACCAAACCTTTGCTATCTCAAGACAGAGGCAAAGCTGGAATCTTCACCCCCCATTTCCAAGGAAGTTCCACATTCTAGGAAAAGCACTAAAAATGGCCCAGCCTTAAGCTGTGGTGGATAATCCCAGCGGGAGGAGGTGGATCCTGGGCTCAGCCTAAGCCCAGGGAGCAAAGGGACAGGCAGGACACGGCCAGGGCTGCTGGGATCACTGAGGAGGCACAGAGCAGCAAATGGGGAGCACCCTGCATCCCCAAACTGGGACTGCTCCAGACTGCACCCACAGCACTGGGCTGGGGAGGGAGGGAGCCCTGCTGCTGCTGCTGCTGCTTTCCACTGCCCCAGTCCAAAAATCCACCGGGCTCAGGGCCTCACCCATCCCCAGCACTGCATTGACAGCGGCTTGGCCCCACTGAGCTCAGCCCCAGCCACAGCATACCCTGCCCCACTGAGCTCTGCCCCACTGAGCTCTGCCCCAGCCACAGCACACCCTGCCCCACTGAGCTCTGCCCCAACCCCAGCACACCCAGACCCGCTCACACCCTGCCCCATAGAGCTCCTGCCCCACTGAGCTCAGCCCCAACCCCAGCACATCCTGCCCCACTGAGCTCTGCCC